TCTGACACTTTCCACCCCTAAATGTTTATCTCCTTCTCTACTAATTTATTCTTTTCCATTGCTCTTATATACTATACTTTCTACTAACATTATTTATTTATTTATTTTTGAGATAGAATTTCACCCTTGTTGCCCATGTTGGAGTGCAGTGTGTGATCTCAGCGGCTCACCGCAACTTCTGCCCCCAGCCCCCAACCCCCCCACCCCCACCGTGTTCCAGCAATTCTCCTGCCTCAGCCTCCTGAGTAGCTGGGATTACAGGCACGCACCACCACGCGGAGCTAATTTTGTATTTTTAGTAGAGACAGGGTTTCTCTGTGTTGGTCAGGCTAGTCTTGAACTCCCGACCTCAGGTGATCCACCAGCCTCGGCCTCCCAAAGTACTGGGATTACAAGCGTGAGCCTCTGTGCCTAGCCTAACATAATTTGTTTATAACCTGTCTTCCCTATAATAAGACGAGTTTTATGAGGGCAGAGATTTTTGCTTGTTTTATTTGCTAATATATTATCTTCAGTATCTAAAACAGAGAATAGCATACAGAATTATCTTCTGATAATCAACGTTTATTGAATAAATTATTTTATTTTAGAGATTGAATATTAGGGGCTATAGTGAGTTTTGGCAATGAGTTGGATAAGAAGATTTTGGAAGATAGGTCTAGCATTATATCAATAATTATAATGGTTAACATTTATGGAGCATGTACAGTATAGCAGACAACACGCTAAGTGCTTCAGATTTTATTCCTCCATATGTTTTTTTTTATTATTATATGTTAAGTTCTAGGGTACATGTGCACAATGTGCAGGTTTACATATGTATACTTGTGCCATGTTGGTGTGCTGCACCCGTCAACTTGTCAGCACCCATCAACTCGTCATTTACATCAGGTATAACTCCCAGTGCCATCCCTCCCCCTCCCCCCTCCCCATAATAGGCCCCTGTGTGTGATGTTCCCCTTCCCGAATCCAAGTGATCTCATTGTTCAGTTCCCACCTATGAGTGAGAACATGCGGTGTTTGGTTTTCTGTTCTTGTGATAGTTTGCTGAGAATGATAGTTTCCAGCTGCATCCATGTCCCTACAAAGGACACAAACTCATCCCTTTTTATGGCTGCATAGTATTCCATGGTGTATATGTGCCACATTTTCTTAATCCAGTCTGTCACTGATGGACATTTGGGTTGATTCCAAGTCTTTGCTATTGTGAATAGTGCCGCAATAAACATATGTGTGCATGTGTCTTTATAGCAGCATGATTTATAATCCTTTGGGTATATACCCAGTAATGGGATGGCTGGGTCATATGGTACATCTAGTTCTAGATCCTTGAGGAATCGCCATAGTGTTTTCCATAATGGTTGAACTAGTATACAATCCCACCAACAGTGTAAAAGTGTTCCTATTTCTCCACATCCTCTCCAGCACCTGTTGTTTCCTGACTTTTTAATGATTGCCATTCTAACTGGTGATGGTATCTCATTGTGGTTTTGATTTGCATTTCTCTGATGGCCAGTGACGATGAGCATTTTTTCATGTGTCTGTTGGCTGTATGCATGTCTTCTTTTGAGAACTGTCTGTTCATATCCTTTGCCCACTTTTTGATGGGGTTGTTTGTTTTTTTCTTGTAAATTTGTTTGAGTTCTTTGTAGGTTCTGGATATTAGCCCTTTGTCAGCTGAGTAGATGGCAAAAATTTTCTCCCATTCTGTAGGTTGCCTGTTCACTCTGATGGTAGTTTCTTTTGCTGTGCAGAAGCTCTTTATTTAATTAGATCCCATTTATCAATTTTGGCTTTTGTTGCTGTTGCTTTTGGTGTTTTAGACATGAAGTCCTTGCCCATGCCTATGTCCTGAATGGTACTACCTAGGTTTTCTTCTAGGGTTTTCATGGCATTAGGTCTGACATTTAAGTCTCTAATCCATCTTGAATTAATTTTCGTATAAGGAGTAAGGAAAGGATCCAGTTTCAGCTTTCTACTTATGGCTAGCCAATTTTCCCAGCACCATTTATTAAATAGAGAATCCTTTCCCCATTTCTTGTTTTTCTGAGGCTTGTCAAAGATCAGATGGCTGTAGATGTGTGGTATTATTTCTGAGGACTCTGTTCTGTTCCATTGGTCTATATCTCTGTTTTGGTACCAGTACCATGCTGTTTTCATTACTGTAGCCTTATAGTGTAGTTTGATGTCAGGTAGCGTGATGCCTCCAGCTTTGTTCTTTTAACTTAGGATTGTCTTGGCAATGCGGGGTCTTTTTTGGTTCCATATGAACTTTAAAGCAGTTTTTTTTCCAATTCTGTGAAGAAAGTCATTGGTAGCTTGATGGGGATGGCATTGAATCTATAGATTACCTTGGGCAGTATGGCCATTTTCACGATATTGATTCTTCCTATCCATGAGCATGGTATGTTCTTCCATTTGTTTGTATCCTCTTTTATTTCACTGAGTAGTGGTTTGTAGTTCTCCTTGAAGAGCTCCTTTACATCCCTTGTAAGTTGGATTCCTAGGTATTCTATTCTCTTTGAAACAATTGTGAATGGAAGTTCATTCATGATTTGGCTCTCTGTTTGTCTGTTACTGGTGTATAAGAATGCTTGTGATTTTTGCACATTGATTTTGTATCCTGAGACTTTGCTGAAGTTGCTTATCAGCTTAAGGGGATTTTGGGCTGAGACAATGGGGTTTTCTAAATATACAATCATGTCATCTGCAAACAGGGACAATTTGACTTCCTCTTTTCCTAACTGAATACCCTTGATTTCTTTCTCTTGCCTGACTGCCCTAGACAGAACTTCAAACACTATGTTGAATAGTAGTGGCAAGAGAGGGCATCCCTGTCTTGTGCCAGTTTTCAAAGAGAATGCTTCCAGGTTTTGCCCATTCAGTATGATATTGGCTGTGGGTTTGTCATAAATAGCTCTGATTATTTTGAGATATGTTCCATGAATACCAAATTTATTGAGAGTTCTTCTCTCAGTTCATCAAAGTCATTCTCTGTCCAACTTTGATCTGTTGCTGGTGATGAACTGCATTCCTTTTGAGGGGGAGATGCGCTCTGATTTTTTGAATTTCCAGTTTTTCTGCCCTGCTTTTTCCTCATCTTTGTGGTTTTATCTGCCTTTGGTCTTTGATGATGGTGATGTACTGATGGGGTTTTGGTGTGGGTGTCCTTCCTGTTTGTTAGTTTTCCTTCTAACAGTCTGGACCCTCAGCAGTAGGTCTGTTGGAGATTGCCTGAGGTCCACTCCAGACCCTGTTTGCCTGGGTATCAGCAGCAGAGGCTGCAGAAGATAGAATATTGCTGAACAGCAAGTGTTCCTGTCTGATTGTTGCTCTGGAAGCTTCGTCTCAGGGGTGTACCCTGCCGTGTGAGGTGTGGGACGTCAGTCTGCACCTAGTGGGGGATGTCTCCCAGGTAGGCTACTCAAGGGTCAGGGACCCACTTGAGCAGGCAGTCTGTCAGTTCTCAGATCTCAACCTCAGTGTTGGGAGATCCACTGCTCTCTTCAAAGCTGTCAGACAGGGTCATTTGCATCTGAAGAGGTTTCTGCTGCTTTTTGTTTAGCTATGCCCTGTCCCCAGAGGTGGAGTCTACAGAGACAGGCCGGCCTCCTTGAGCTGCTGTGGGCTCCACCCAGTTCGAGCTTCCAGGCAGCTGTGTTTACCTACTTTAGCCTCAGCAATGGCAGGCGCCCCTCCCCCAGCCTGGCTGCTGCCTTGCAGTTAGAATGCAGACTGCTGTGCTAGCAATGAGGGAGGCTCCGTGAGAATGGGACCCTCCCAGCCAGGTGTGTGATATAATCTCCTGGTGTGCCCTTTGCTAAGACCCTTGGTAAAGCGCAGTATTAGGGTGGGAGTTACCCGATTTTCCAGGTGTTGTGTGTCTCAATTCCCCTGGCTAGGAAAAGGGATTCCCTTCCCCCTTGCGTTTCCCAGGTGAGGTGATACCGTGCCCTGCTTCAGCTCTTGCTGGTCGGGCTGCACCAGCTGACCAGTGCTGATTGTCTGGCACTTCCCAGTGAGATGAACCTGGTACCTCAGTTGAAAATGCAGAAATCACCCGTTGTCTGTGTCACTCACGCTGGGAGCTAGAGACTGGAGCTGTTCCTATTCGGCCATCTTGCTCCGAAGATCCTCCATATATTTATGGTCATCAAAAAGAATTTCAGGGTCCCAATTTTGAAGCTTCATTATTAATGCCATGATGAAATCTTTTATTTCCTTTTCATGGGATTTCATATTATTAATCAAACTTGTATATTTAAGTTGTATTTTATTAATATGTAAAATGTGAGCTTCAAGTTTCTTGAGAGTGAAGACACAAGTCAACCAGGAGAGCTGATGAAAAAGTTCATGCTGAACCCATCTAGATTCTGTCCATGGTTCTGATGCTATCTTGACACATAAAACTACTTGGAAAATACTCATCCCTGGGATCAAGATAAGCCACACTGCCTATGTTATGTGTCTTCTTGTTTACATGGCAATTTTCAGAGTGTATTGATATTCTTACAACACAGTGAAACCTTCCTGAGTATGGGTTTCTTGAGACTGAGACACATTTGGGTCTCCTCCTCAGGAATCATTTAGTAATTGTTGAATCAGTTTCTTTGATTTTTCTCCTTTCTACATTTTTGTTTTGCAAAAAATACACCCGCCTGACCTCACCAGTTTTCATCATATATCAAGACCTCTCTCTTCATAAATGCTTGGCCTGCCTTTCTTAGCACATTATTGAAGAGAGATAGGTAGGAGCATGAACGTAAAGCTGTGATTTTGGCCATTCTCTACAGAGAACAGAAAAATCAGGACATGTATAGATATATATGATATGTTAATTAAGTCTGGAAAAGTAGAATTCTTCTCCCCAAAAACTGTGAATCTAATGGCCAAGTTTGTTTTATTATATTTTGGAGAGTATAGACGTTTGATCCTCAACAACTATAACAAGGAAAGTAGAGAATGAGGCCTTTATAAGAATATAATAGAGGTATAAATAACATATGAGATTTCTTCTACCTTCCTAGATTTTGAATGCCCAGTGAAGTCCTTGGCTGAAGAATGATGTGGGAAAACTGGACAATTGTCAGTGAATTTGTTCTTGTGAGCTTCTCATCCCTGTCCACTGAGCTTCAGGCTCTGCTGTTTCTTCTTTTCTTGACCATTTACCTGGTTACTTTAATGGGCAATGTCCTCATCATCCTGGTCACTATAGCTGACTCTGCACTACAAAGTCCTATGTACTTCTTCCTCAGAAATTTGTCCTTCCTGGAGATAGGTTTCAACTTGGTTATTGTGCCCAAGATGCTGGGGACCCTGATCATTCAAGACACAACCATCTCCTTCCTTGGATGTGCCACTCAGATGTATTTCTTCTTCTTTTTTGGAGCTGCTGAGTGCTGCCTCCTGGCCACCATGGCATATGACCGCTATGTGGCCATCTGTGACCCCTTGCACTACCCAGTCATCATAGGCCACAGATCCTGTGGCCAGCTGGCAGCTGCCTCTTGGTTCTCAGGGTTTCCAGTGGCCACTGTGCAAACGACATGGATTTTCAGTTTCCCTTTTTGTGGCCCCAACAGGGTGAACCACTTCTTCTGTGACAGTCCTCCTGTTATTGCACTGGTCTGTGCTGACACCTCTCTGTTTGAACTGGAGGCTCTGACAGCCACTGTTCTATTCATTCTCTTTCCTTTCTTGCTGATCCTGGGATCCTATGTCCGCATCCTCTCCACTATCTTCAGGATGCCGTCGGCTGAGGGCAAACACAAGGCCTTTTCCACCTGTTCCTCCCATCTCCTAGTTGTCTCCCTCTTCTACAGCACTGCCATCCTCATGTATTTCCGACCCCGATCTAGTGCCTCTCCTGAGAGTAAGAAGCTGCTATCACTCTCTTACACAGTGGTGACTCCCATGTTGAACCCCATCATCTACAGCTTAAGGAATAATGAAGTGAAGGTTGCACTGAAGCGGGTTATCCACAGGATGCTGGGTTCTCAGAAACTATGATTGGCTTAGATGTAAACTGAAGGGGTAAAATGTAAGCACACACAAACAAACAGAAAAATGAATTCCTCAAGTGGGTTTTGTGTTTCTGCTCTTTCCAGGTGACACAGTATGTCTACTGAAATTTTATACTTTCTACTAAGACCTATTTCTGAAAGAAAGAACATGAGTAATGAAATAAAGCATTATAGTATTCCATAGTATCTATGGGATGGTGGTACCAGTGTCTCTGGAAATGCTGCTAATTTATATAAATTAGGATCCTCTGAAGATCAATAATTACAATCCACCATTTTTTAAAATTTGTTTTAACCTTTCTTGAACTCCCACATCCATTTCATTTTATAATTTTCTGCTTTACTTTCTTCTATTTGTCCAAAACCTACCTGCATATTTCTAGGCTGTCTTTGTTTACAAAGTAATTAAAATAACAATAATAATGCTAATAAATAGTAGAGTTTTGTTTTATCCTTTTACTCATGTTTTTCAATGAATTTGAGTTTGAACACAAAATTTTAACAAATTTTTATTCAGCACTCAGCATATGTCAGATTCCGTTTAGGCCCTGAAGACACACTGGTGACTAAAACAGATAAATTTCTTACCCCATATAATTTACATCCTAGTGATAAAGACAGAAAATAAAAAGATACTTCAGTCCTCTAGTGGTTTATAAAGTATACATGTTTAGAGGACTAGCAATTGAAGAGTTCTGTCTCTGCTACTAGTCAGTCTGTGCCTTATCTGGAGAAAGGTTACTCCACAATGACTACTGTCTAAATCTCACATTATTCACCTGGTATATGAGAGCTGCTTGACAGAAAAGGTGTAAAGAACTCCCAGTCAAGTATAGTGGAGAAATTATGGGGAACTGGTGTAAAGAACCCAAAGATTTTTTGCTTATGGGATTTTTTTTCTGTAATCTTATTGTGATTGGATGGAATCAATTTTTTTTTTCAAGCTTGTGTATCTTTCAGCCACATAGTAGCCTCTGTTTATGATTTTACCTAGTGAACACAGTCCAACTCTGGACTCAACAAACAGCAGCCTTGGATATGGGCAATATAACTGTGTGTAAACATACTCCTAGCAATTCATTGATAATTACAGGGTGAAAGTATATCTACTACACAGGCATGTCTGCCTCACCAACTCTATAAACAACCCTATCTCTGTGTGCCATAGAAGTACCAGGACCAGTTTCCTTTCCTGCACAAAGTGTCCTTCAGCTCTAGTGATACAAGGGCTGAAAGACAGCTTATTCTGTAAAATGGCCATAAGAATTTTCAAAAGAAAAGGCAGATCATGGGGTTGTATTTGCATGATGGCAATCACACAAACAGATTGACACCATTAAAAATTGATAGTCTCCAATTTCAGTGAAACTTTAATCACTTCTTCACATTCCTTTTTATTGACCTTGGTGGGTAAGGTAAATAGTGGCCCCCTCTAATATATCTATATTCTAGTCCTTGGAACCTGTGAAGGTGGTACCTTCCATGGTAAAAGGGCTGCAGATGTGATTGACTTAAGGATTCTCATATAGGGAGATTATCCTGTGCTATTTGGATAGACCCAATCTAATCACAAGGATCCTTCTAAGAGGGAGGCAAGATGATCAGAAGGAGGGACAGAAAAATGTAAGCATGGAAGCAGAGGTTAGAGAAGACAGAAGGTGATACGCTACTGATTTTGAAATTAGAAGACAGGAGGCCGGGCGCGGTGGCTCAAGCCTGTAATCCCAGCACTTTGGGAGGCCGAGACGGGCGGATCACGAGGTCAGGAGATCGAGACCATCCTGGCTAACACGGTGAAACCCCGTCTCTACTAAAAAAAATACAAAAAAAAAACCAAAAAAACTAGCCGGGCGAGGTGGCGGGCGCCTGTAGTCCCAGCTACTCGGGAGGCTGAGGCAGGAGAATGGCCTAAACCCGGGAGGCGGAGCTTGCAGTGAGCTGAGATCCAGCCACTGCACTCCAGCCTGGGCGACAGAGCCAGACTGTGTCTCAAAAAAAAAAAAAAAAAAAAAAAAAAAAAAAAAAGAAATTAGAAGACAGGGCCATGATCCAGGAATGCAGGCAGCCTGTGGAAGCTGAAAAAGTCAAGGGGACAAAATTTTCCCCTAGAGCCTTCAGAAGATAACGTAGGTCTTGCTAACACCTTAATTTTAACTCAATGAAACTGATTTTGGACTTTTGAACTCTAGAATTCTCAGATAACAAATCCATGTTGTTTTAAGCAACTAGGTTTGTGGTAATTTGTTACAGCAGCAATACAACACTAACGCATTTGGTCACACCTTATTCTTCTCAGCTAATATCCAAGTGTTTGCTACTTTTCCCTGTACCATTCTTCCTTCTTTTATTCAAGAAAACAACTTTTACTTCATCAAGAAAATTGGGGTGATCAGATTTAAATGACTTTTAATTATGCCCTTACATCTAAAAATGTGTCCATCTATGCCCACATCCATGCCTATTTCTCTTCATCTCAGAAATACTTGATTTCGTAGCCTCTTGTCTATGAACCATGCTTCCTGTGGTATCTCATCTGTTTCACCTGTAACTTCAACCTCTTCCCCTCTTTTGTCTCAAGCTGTAAACATGCCCTGATCGTTAAAAATGAATTACAATCTTGATCACGTTTCTCTTATCTTTCTTATTTACTCTCAGACTTACTTTTGTACCATCTTTATTGAAATACCTTACATATTATAAAACTCACCTATTTAAAGTTTATAATTCATTTTTTTTTTTAGCATATTCACAATGTTGTGCAACCATCACCACAATCTAAGTTTACAACAATTTTATCACCCCTAAAGGAAAGCCCATACCCATTAGCATCAGACAATTTCTTGGGAAAAAAACTTTATAATTTCTGTTTTATTTTCATTAAATTTACTATTTATTCACTAAAATCTAGTTTCTTCCCCTATCACTTCATTGAAATAGATGTTTGAAAATCATTAATGGCCTCTATATTAATGTGTCCAGTGTTTAATCTTAATTTTGCTACTCTCTATTACAACTCTTACATTGCTCGTGTGTTTCTTTTGAAAATTTCTACACTTTTTATTTCCCAAATACCACTCTGTTCTGGTTTTCTTTCTACATGTCTGAACACTCGTTCTCAATCTTCAAGGAGTTTTCTCACAAACACTTAACCATTGGAAACACTATGTTCCCCAAAGTTCCTATAATAACCTTGGTGCTTTTTTTCACTCTTGCTTTTTTTTTTTTTTTTTTTTTTTTAAATAGCTATACTGAAGTATAATTTATATACAGAAACTGCATATATTTAATGTATACAATTTGATGAGTTTGTCCAAAGTCATATACCCATACCATACATACCATGAACAAGGTGAGAGGGAGAGAGAAAGAGAGAGAAACCTCATCACTCTAAGCTTGAGAGTCAGATATTTGCAAGTGTCCATAAGACATATCCACACTGATTTTCAAACGGCACCTTAAGGGTATCTTTTAACTCATGTCAAAAACTAAATTCATTTCCTTTATCCAATCCTGCTTCTTGAACTGAATTCATATTTCAAAGACTGTCGCTAGCATTACCTAGTCAACCAAATCAGAAATCTGATAATCAAATGAGGCTCATCCTTCATACCAGAAAGTCCAATAAAAAGTCCTTACCTAACCAGCATGTTATCAGTTACTTTCTGCCACAATACTACATCATACATAATCTTCAATAAATTCTACAAAGACTATATGATTATTTTTCTGGATCATAATTTAGAAATACTGTTTACAAAAAAGAGTTCAGCTTACTTCTTCCTAAAACTTTTTATTGCCCATTTAAAAATTTTATTACTATTCTGCTCATTCAAAATATTGTGATATATTCACATATTGACCATCCTTCAAGACATATTTCAGATATTAACTCTTTCATGGCATGGGTTCAATTGCTTCCAACCTGACAGTATGTTCTTCTCTGAGAAAACATATGCACACAAACATATGATCTATTTTTATTCTGTCCTACTTCTTTGCTCCTTGATTATGATATTTTCTTGTAAGGACAGGGTTTATAACATACTTATATCTCCTACATGGCCTATCACGGTGACTTGAGCATGGTAAAAATGCAATTAATATACATTTGATTTCCCATGAAATAAATTGGAAGTGCTAAATAAGTCCAAACATTCAACTATCTAGGATCCTTCACAGATATCCATATATAATCCCTGCAGAGAAATGTTGACTTATCAATATTTCAGGTTTCCAATATTTAAAACAATTCTATATTTATGATTAAATGTGGGAATTAAAAATGATAAAAACTTTTTCATTTTGGGTGTCTGTATTATCCAAGAAAATGTGTAAAATACATTTTCCATCTACTCCCTGCCTGCGGTTAATCATTTCTATGTAAATTACATAATAGGGTTGGATTAGAAAATATAATGAAAAATATGCATTTCTATAGTTTATAAGTTACATTTATAAAATTCTACTTTTATATTTAAAACAGCCCTTTGAATTAACTATTGCTATTATTATTCCCATGTTAGAGATCATCTAAAAGATTTTATCTGGTTTCATGCCTTTATATACTATGTACAGAGTACTGATCCCCAAAATTATATCTTCAAATGTGATATCTCCACTGAGCTCAAATCCAATATCCAATTGTATTCTTCATCCCTCTGCATTTATGTCAGGTAGGCATCTCACACTTAATTCATCCAAAACACTTCTATAAAACTTGCTTTTTTATTCCCCTCTTCTACTCACCAGCAAATATTATCATCACCTTATTTACTCACTATCTTTCATCCCTCATATTCAACCTATCAAACCTGACAAATGATTTCCAAAATATATGCTATATCCAATTTTCTTTGATCTATGCTGCTATTATCCTAGATCAAGACACAATCATTCTTTACCTTGACTACTGCAGTACTTCCTAACATATCTTCCCATTTCTATCTTGCTTCCCTGTAATCCACTATCCATGGAGGATCCTGAGTAGTCTTTTCAATATGTAAATAAGATTATATCATTCCCTTGCATGCAAACATTTCACAGCTTCCCATCACTATTAAAGTAAAATGTAAAATCTTTACTAATTCTACATTTGCAACTTGTGCTAGTCTCTATCCACCTTTCCAGCCTCACTTAAAATCCCCTGGTCACTCAATTACATTGATATAGTACAATGATTTTGAATTGTGGATCAGAATCACCTAGAGAACTTTAAAGACACAATGTCAGCACTTCTCTTTTGGCCACAAAGAAGTAGCTTGCATTTAAACAATTCTCCCCAAAACAACTATACAACTATAAAAGATTGACAAAACAAGTGCTTAGAGATACAGGAGAGCAGCAAATACAGGACTTGAAGAGAAAAGCTAAGAGGAGGGAAGAACAAAAAAGTAAGTGCCACATTCACCCAAGTGTTTTCCCCAAGGGCATTTGTCAATTCTCTAAGAGGAAAAAAGAGTGTTAGCATAAAGTGGCAATCACTGAAATAAGAAGACAGAAATTAGAATTTGGGGTTGCCAAAAATGTTACCATTGAGAATCAAATCACAAAGATGAGGGTACCACAGATAAACAAGGCCAAAAATTTGCATGCAATATACTTATAAGTTGTTTGTCACTCCTAAACAGTGTATGCACAAGAAAAGACTCAAGGAAAGTCAAAAGAAAGCAGCATATGAAAGGCCCTCTCTCACCACTCCTATTCAACATAGTGTTGGAAGTTCTGGCTAGGGCAATCAGACAAGAGAAAGAAATAAAGGGTATTCAGTTAGGAAAAGAAGAAGTCAAATTGTCCCTGTTTGCAGATGACATGATTGTATATTTAGAAAACCCCATGTGAGAACACCGCATGTTCTCACTCATAGGTGGGAACTGAGCAATGAGATCACTTGGACTCGGGAAGGGGAACATCACACACCGGGGTCTATCACGGGGATGGGGGAGGGGGGAGGGATTGCATTCTGAGTTTTACCTGATGTAAGTGACAAGTTGATGGGTGCTGACGAGTTGATGAGTGCAGCACACCAACATGGCACAAGTATACATATGTAACCAACTTGCACGTTATGCACATGTACCCTAGAACTTAAAGTATAATAATAATAAAAAATATATATATATATATATATGAGCTGAGCATTTAGTAACTGATTGGTGGTGGGAGATAGAGGGTAGGGTTTAAGTCTTGTAAGGTAGATCACTCTGTGCTTTCAGCTGAGATCCCACAAAGGTCATAATTTAGGAACAAATGCAAAGCTAGATAGAAAAAGCCTAAAAAAGCCTAAAAACAGCCATCAATAAGATTGAATTGATCTGCTTATGTTTTTACCCTGTCAAAAGAAAAACTGCATCGTCTTAGAAAGAAAAAAAATCATCCAGAGCCTCTACAAGAGGACGATTTAATGAAAAAATTATAAAACATGCTAATAAAAAAGGGTCAAAAATGACTGATAAGAGAAAAAATAGGCAATTTATTCACAAATGTTTGTGACATCTGTGACATTTGTTTGCCAATATTTTATGGACAATTTATTTGTCTATGTCTAGGTATATTGCCACTATCCATAAAAGATTTTGAGGTGATTTAGATATTAGAGTTCTAAGTTCAAAATAACTATTATCAATATTTTTAAGAAAAGAGAGAGAAAGACTTTTTCATGAGATAACTGCAATTCATAAAAATAAAAATAGACATAAAACTAAAAAACTGAACCGAAAAAGCAC